AGATAGATAGATAGATAGATAGATAGATAGATAGATAGATAGATAGAATAGATTTTTATACATACACATATACTGATATATGTATATAAGCATGCATATGTGTGTATGTATGTGTGTATACACATATATACACATAACACACACACAGAGAGACAAAAAGTTATGTTGTATTCCTCTATATTATCTATACAAAGGACTCATATTAAATATTCAATACATTTAACATAATTCTCCTTGGATACAATTCTTTTATTACTGATTTAGAGAACAGAGATAATTTTTCATTCCAGGATTTCAGCTGTTCTAACTTTCTAACCATTCAGTAGAGAGACTAAAGTGGTTTATTTTCCTCTTTTTAATGCTCATGACCAGGTATTGTAAGTGATGAATATGCAGAAAATTGCAAAAATTATCCATTTGCCACTCTGGTGAAGTCCCTGAAATTATTTTATTTTATGAAGGAACCAATTTTTTCACTAGCATTTTAGTACTCATTAGACATTTCAGATAAAGATTATTTCCTAATGAAGAAATAAAACTCGATAAATAAAAAACTCAATTCATCTTTATATTCAAAGTGTCATCCTATATTCAGAACTGAGTCTTGCCTTTCATGAAACAGAATCCTATGCTTGGAATGAAACTAAGAACCTGAACTAGAACTCATAAGAACTCCCCTGATGTATATTAACTGTGCACATAAATCCCCTGTGGAGGCTCCTATAAAGTTTTTCCAATTAAAGTACTGGCTTAAATTAATCTTTAGAAATGAATCTCGAATCCAGTTAAGGTTAAGTCCTAGCTAAAAAACTTTCTTCTTCTATAAGAAATGTATGGGCTCAGATTTGAATTATTATGGCGTCTAACATAATTCCTGATGATGCTGTGATTTGAGAGATACTTTAGAAATAAAGCTGCAATTTCCCAACATGGATTTACATACAATAGGACTCCTCACTGTTCTAACACTTAGCCACTTCGTTAATCCTTTACCAATCTACTTTACTAAGAGATAGTTTAAAAAGTGCTATAGCTATTTTACTAATATTTTCTCCATCTTGTATAAAAAAGCATTCTCTTGGGCTAAACTTAGTGTTTTGTCATCCATGGTTCTACACTGTGTGCACAATAATTAGGCAAGTTGTATTTGGAGGATTAATTTTATTATTGAATAACTACAGTGCTCTCGGTCAATCCAAAATGTTAATAAACCTCAAACCTGAATATTTAAGAAAGTAAAAATGAGGTTTTGGCTTTCTTGGGAGAATATCTATGTGTGCACAATAGTTGGGCAACTATTAGTATGTAGAATTATTATGCAACTAAATGAAAAATGAAAATTTGCCCATCTCAGTTATTTATTTGCATCTGTTAAAGTGAGGATAATACACAAACAACTCAAAATCTACAAATAAACATTTATGACATTTCAAAAACAAATCAACCATTGACCAATATTGCCACCCTTCTTTTCAATAAGGCCGTAAGTCTTCCATTCAGCAGCAGATCAACTCTTTGTGCAGCAGCAACCATAGCCTCCCAGACACTGTTCAGAGAGATGTACTGTTTTCCTTCACTGTACATCTCCCATTTAAGAAGGGCCCATAAGTTCTCAAAAGGATTTAGGTCAGGTGAGGAAGGGGGCCATGCCATTATTCTTTCATCTTTAAGGCCTTTACTGGCTAGCCACGCAGCGGAGTACTTCGATGCATGCGATGGAGCATTGTCCTGCAGGAACATCATAGTCTTCTTGAAAGATGCAGACTGTTTTCTGTACCACTGGCTTGAAGAAAGTGTCTTCTAAAAACTGGCAGTAGATTTGGGAGTTAATTTTGAGTCCATCTTCAATCCAAAAAGGTCCAACTAGTTTATCTTTAATAATACCAGCCCATACCAGTACCCACCTTGCTGGCGTCTGAGTCGAAGTAGAGCTTTATGCCCATTACTGATCCAGCCACAGATCAGATCCATCTGGTCCGTCAAAAGTCACTTTCATCTCATCAGTCCATAACACCTTTGAAAAATCTGACTTCAGACATTTCTTGGCCTAGTCTTGCCATTTCAAATTATATGTCTTGTTCAGTGGTGGTTGGGTTTCAGCCTTTCTTACCTTGGCCATGCCTTTGAGCATTGAACACCTTGTACTTCTGAGCACTCCAGGTAGGTTGCAGTTCTGGAATATGAGAGCACTGGAGGAAATGGGTTCCTGGTAGCTTCACGTTTGATTCTTCTTAAATCTTTGGCGGTTAATTTGTGTCTTTTTTTCTCAACACATTTCTTGCGACCTTGTTGACTATTTGCATCAAAACGTTTGATGGTTCTGTGATCACACCCAATATCTTAGCAATTTCAAGAGTGCTTCATCCCTCTGAAAGACTTTTTACAATTCTTGATTTTTCAGAGTCAGTTACATCTCTTTTTTGGCCCATTTTGCCTGAGGAAATGAAGCTGCCTAATAATTATGCATACCTTGATATAGAGTGTTGATCTCTTTAGGCCACACTCTCCCTCATTACATAAATACACATCACCTGATATGCTTATATCCACTAAGCATTCAAGTTTATACAGGTTGGAGGTGAAAAATATGTGTAAAAATGATGATACGGCCAAAATACTCACTTGCCTAATAATTGTGCACACAGTGTACAAGGGAGATTTCTGATGTAACAAGCCAACAGTTATCTCATGCATCACAGCACTTTGGTGTTCTGAATGAATACCCAACTTGGGTATTGTAACCCAAATTGGGTTGCCTTGAAGAGTTGAATATCCCCCACTGCATAGTATGCTCAAAATAATAGGTGATGAAAGATATATAGCTTTAATACTTGCACTAATTTCAGCCTAAATAGCCCAAGTTCAATAATGAGGCCTCTTTTTCATTCAAGCTGTTTTTACATTGTTTATTTTCTTCTGAAGCAGCTGTATTAATAGCACATTTTTCTAAACAATATTCTCATTTGTTTCAACATTGCTAACATATTAAAGTGCAATATACACAGATGACTCGTCTGAATAATAAAAATATTAAGCAGAGATATAACAAGGCTGTAGTCAAAATGAAAATAGCATTAATATGCAAAAGAATCTCTGGGGAGAAACAACATTAGAATATAAACAATACAAAGGGAAGAATTGCTTGCAGATTGCCATTTCATCCAAGCTGAATAGATTTAACATTCCAATCTTATTTCATTCTTCAACATAGTGACTAAATTAGTAAACGAGCGAAATACTGTGGACATAATATACTTAGACTCCAACAAGGCATTTGACAAAGTAGACAACCTACTTCTTGGTAAGCTAGAAAAAAGTGGGATAGATAGCATCACCACTA